GATGGCATTTGTTATTGGATGTATTTCTTTTCATTTCATATTTTATATGTATTCATACAACAATTGTTATATGTATATAAGATACACTATATTTAAAAAATAACAAAACTTAGCATGCTATAAGAGAAGCCATGTAATAGATGAAAAATAATGTTCGTTAGAATCTTTCTCATGATAGGTAACATCTAACCCACAATCTCAATTTGCTTTTTTTGAATTTAACAATCGGTGTGAATTCAAGGAGTGTTGTTCAAAGGCAATGCAGGTTAATGCAGGTTTCTTCTCTGTAGCCTAAACAAATGGTTCTTGGCTTCTCCAAGAAGCCAAGTGAAAGGGGCAAAGGGTGCAAAGGAGTCTAGGCTTCTTGGAGAAGCTAAAACAGCTGGCCAAGCTTCTCCAAGAAGCTTAGCCAAAGGTTAATCCTTCTAGAAGGAACCAAGGGGTTCAAAGGCTCATACCAGCCAAAACTGCACGGGGAGGAGTGATGGTGCATTCCAGCTGGCACAGCTGGCATGCACCATGCCTTAAGGGTGCGAAGGAGTCACACCGGCCAGCAAAAGATGTCACCGGCAAAAAAAAGTGCCGATCGGCAGTATACTATGCCGACCGGTCATTGATTTTGAGAAACCATGGCCGGTGGCACCCCTAAACAGCCGATGATGCTAGGGGAAGGCCGGTGGAATGTGAGGGTGGCCAACAAGCCACTCTCCTCCCTTCAAGGCAAAAACACAAGTGTTTGGTGTCAAAACCAAACACGAAACAATCAGGTCGAGAGATCCTGAGGCGAGGCGCGCGGCCAAGACTTCCGGGAACTCAAGACGAACACAAACATGGATAATCACCGAGTGTTCAAATGGTGACGTCCAAGTCTTGAGGACGGTCAAAAATGGGGTGTCTACAACTGTCCATTTTGAGTTTGGCATATAATAATTTGTACAGGGCAATTCCTAACTCAATTGGCTCCCTGAGTCAAATTCAGACTCTGCACTTTACGCAACAATAATCTTTCTGGGGAGTTGCCTTCGTCTTTAAAGAGTTGCACAGAGTTGAGAATTGTTGATCTGGGTGTAAATAGATTCACAGGAAAACTGCCAGCATGGATAGGGACACATCTAACAAATTTAATTGTTGTTAGTCTAAGATCCAATGAGTTCAATGGAAGCATACCTCAACATATATGTCATCTTAACCATATTATAATCTTGGACCTCTCTCAAAATGATCTGTCAGGAAACATACCTCATTGCTTCAACAATTTTACTGCTTTGGTTCAAAGTAATAGTTCCGGTGCAACCATTAATTTCAGCTATACGGCACATGCTGGTTATTTTACGGATGGTGGCGACTATGTTGATAATGCATTGGTGCAATGGAAATGACAATTATTTGAGTACAGGAACACTATAGGACTGCTAAAAATCATTGATCTTTCTAGCAATGAATTAACCGGAAGCATTCCTGATCAAATTGCAAGTCTTGCAGGGCTAATTTCCTTGAATCTTTCAAGAAACTATTTGACAGGAAAAATCATCCCAGAGATTGGTCAGATGAAAATGTTGGAATCTCTTGACTTGTCTGCAAATAAGCCATCAGGTGAGATTCCTACCAGCCTTGCGCTCTTAAATTATCTGAGCTTGTTAAACTTGTCAAATAACGACTTGGCTGGCAAAATCCCAACAGGCACTCAATTGCAAAGCTTTAATGCCTCTGTGTTTTTGGGAAATCCTAAACTTTGTGGGCTTCCGCTTCAAAATAAGTGCCCAGGAGAAGAAACAAATGTGAATATTGCGCCCGACAAAGACAAAAAGAATATTCAAGAAGAGGATGGGTTCATTACCTTCGGGTTTTTTGTTAGCATGGGACTTGGTTTCATCCTTGGATTTTGGACAATTCTTGGCACTATGCTTTTAAACAGTCCATCAAGACATGCCTATTTCAAGTTCTTGGACCACATAAAAAATTGGTTGTGTGACTACTGCATTGAATATGGCTAGGCTACAAATGAGGCTTTATAGATAATCAGTAAGACATTTTATTTTATTTTTAATTTTGTTAATTTCTTGGTTTTTCCTAGGTCCTTTTTTTTTCTTTGTTTTTTTTCCTCTGATTATAACACTTGCGCAGGTCATGTTGTGGAGCTAGCTTTGGCTCTTTGGTCTGAAGTCCAGCTGTATGGTAACTTCTATTGTATAATCATGTCTATTCAATGTCCAGTTCTGTGATCAATTCTTATGGTTGTACAAAACTATTGCCGAAAGTGATAATCACAATGTTTAGTTTTATTTTTGCAAGGATGTTAATACAACAGAGGCGCTAGCTGTGAGTTCACAGACAGAAGATTAAAGACGAGTTGTAGGCACTTGTTGTTCCTTAGGCAATCTATGTATTTTGTAAGGATTGTAATATTAACTTTATAAATATTTGATGTGTAATTATTATGGATTCTATGTTTGCAAGGATTCCGATCTTCTTTCGTAAACTATCTATCAGTGCTGTGGCTAGTTGTCACATTTATGTCGTTCGGATATATATTTTCAAATAAAAGTTAAATATTTGGATAAACTTGTGCACAAAAAACGGTTGTTCGAATCTAAACGGTCGAATGAAATGTCTACTGAACAATTCATTTTTGTTCATAAGTTCATATCCAAATATTTGATTTTTATTCACAAGTTTATATCCGAATGATACAAATATGTGTACCGAGATTTTCTACAATGTGTGAACAGAATTTTCTTTTTGTTATATTTGATGTCCTAGTTTGCTATATGAAAGATGGCTTCTTTTGGAGTTGTCTATTGTGAGGAAACTGATTTACTTTCAAGAAAAGAAAATGAATGATTTCTTTTTGAAGGGGTTTGTTAGTATATAGTTGTTATTATAGCTGCTATAGCATTATATTATAGCTTTATCTTTTATATTTCTTAATGTAAAGTATACAGCTTTTCCTTTATGCTTTGTATACAGCTTTTCCTTTATGCTTTCTGTGCCTACAATTTGGCATCCAATGTATCATCTCCTCTCTATAAAGAGAGTGCATTCTCTTTGTAAATGGATACACATAATTACAGATCAATATAGAGTTATTCAGTTGCTCTCTCTCTCTCTCTCAAACTATTGTTTCATGGTATCAGAGCCCAGTTATACAATTCTGGCATTTTTCAATTTTGGGGCTTAGTCCCGTACACAGTGGCACTACACCAAACAGCTCGGAATCTCCTTACGATTCCAACGACACCACGCCCATCATCAGAAAAGCTTTAACGAGCTTCCACGCACACCAAATAGCTCGGAATCTCCTTACGATTCCAACGGCACCACGCTTGTCATCAGAAAAGCCCTCACGCGCTCCCACGCGCCTCCTTTGTGATCGGCGCGTCTCTTCTTCCGTCACCACTCTCACACGCGCCTTCACGCACCTTCAGGTCTGCTCGTTCGTGCGTCGCGCCTGCTACCGTGCAATCGCGTGCGCCATCCCTCTACCGTGAGCCGCGCCTGCGCCGTTCTGCTATCGTGCACTCGCGTGCGCCATCCTGCTACCGTGAGCCGCGCGTGCGCAGTCTGCTAACGTACGCCGCTGACATCATCTTACATTCTAGTAACGTCATCGCTGCATAGCACGCCTTTCCTAGCTATTTTCGACCTTCCGGACTCACTGGTACACTCTGTTTTACCTAATTTTGCTCATACAGGTCTATTCCTATTGATTTAGCCCTACTCAACTATTGTTATGGATCGTCATGATGCCTCCCATCCCATTTCTGTTATTTTGAATGGTTCCAACTATGTTCTGTGGGCCCAAGCCATGTCGTCCTTCCTCAAAGGAAAGAAGCTCCGGCGAATTATCACTGGGAATGTGACCCAACCGGTGAAAGACACTGACACTGATGCAACTACTGTTACTACTGCTACTACTACTACTACTGCTACATATGAAGACCGACTTGAGGAATGGGACAGTAAGAATTACCAAATCATTACCTGGTTTCGTAATACCTCTGTTACCTCTATCAGTCTTCAGTTTGGTCACTTTCAGCTTGACTCTGTAACTACTCCTGCAAAAGACATCTGGGATTTTTTGAAAGAACGATACCAGACTACTAGTCTTGCCCATCAATATCAACTTCAGAGCCAACTTCACCGCATGCGCCAAGAATCCACTCAGTCCATTAATGACTTCCTTTCTCAAATGTACTCTGTTTGGGACCAGCTTGCTCTTTCAGAACCAACTTGGCCTCACCGAGAAGATGCTGGTTTATTTACTATCTATCGTAATCAGCAAAGGTTGGTGCACTTCCTCATGGCTCTTACTTTCTCTTTTGAGCCCGTACGTGCCTCTCTGCTTCATCGTTATCCATTGCCCACTCTTGAACAAGCTATTTCTGAGCTGCTATCAGAGGAGACTCGTTTCGGTACTCTCCAAACTCATCATGTGGACTATGTTCCTGACACTCCTTCATACCGGCCATCATTTACCCAACGCACCACTGCCTGCCTCTATTGTCAGAATCGGGGCCTTCCTTCAACACATCTCCTGGTCAATTGCCCCATCAGATCCTGCCGATACTGTAACAAACTTGGTCCTGGTCATCTGTAACATGATTGTTTTCGCAATCCATCCCGATCATCCTTCAATAGCCACTCCTCTCGCGGTGGCTCTTCCCAGGGGAGCTTTCATCATTTCGAGAATCAATCTCATTACACTGCTGCTGCTTCCGGGAATCAGTCTCATCACACTGCTGTTGCTACCTCTGAGGTCTTCTCTAAGTCACCTGCTCCGTCTACCCCTCTCTTTTCTCCAACGGATGTAGAGGCCATGTTCAAACACCTTCTCTCCCCTTCTGGTACACCTCCTCCTACTGCTTTTTCTGTGATCCCAGGTAACTCTTCTTGGTATTTTGACTCTGCCTGTTGTAATCATATGACCTCCAGTTCTATTATATTTTCTTCCATCTCTTCATCTCCTCATATTCCCTCAATTCATACTGCTGATGGTTCCCTCATGTCTGTCCGTCATGTTGGTACTGTTTCCACAACTTCTTTATCTTTACCTCAAGTTTATCATATCACTGCTCTCACCTTAAACCTTATTTCTATTGGTCAATTATGTGAACTTGGTCTAACTGTCACATTTTTTGTTACTGATTGTTTGGTGCAGGACCCTCAGACGGGGCAGACTATTGGGATCGGTCATAAGCATGGACGTCTCTATGAACTCATTCACCTTCATGTTCCTGACTCTCCTTAGATCGCTGCTCCTGCATCTGCTTCCTCCTTATCTCCTTTTCATCTTTGGCATTGTCGCTTAGGGCATATTTCTATTAATCGCTTAAAGTCTTTGGCTTCTAGTGGACAATTGGGTCATGTAATTCCAAATAATTTCGATTGTATACCCTGTCAACTTGCCAAACAACCTGCTTTATCATTCAATAAAAGTACTTCTGTTTCCCTTGCACCTTTTGATCTTATACATTCGGATATTTTGGGGCCCTCCCCTACTACTACTATGGGGGGATCTCGTTATTTTGTTGTTTTTATTGATGATTTTTCCCGGTTTACTTGGCTTTTTCTCATGAAAACTCAGTCTGAACTTAAACACATTTATTATAGATTTGCCCAAATGGTCCACACCCAATTCTCCAAAACCATCAAACTTTTTCGCTCTGACAATGCTATGGAATATCGGGATTCAGATTTCCTTTCCTTTCTTCAGAGTCATGGTACACTGCCTCATCGTTCCTGTGCTGGCATGTCCCAGAAAAATGGTCGTGCTGAACGGAAACATAAGCATATTCTTGACACTACTCGCGCTCTCCTTCTATCTTCTTCCTGCCCTGAAAACTTTTGGGGGGAAGCTGCCCTCACTGTTGTCTACACTATCAATTGTGCTCCTACCCCTGTCATCCATAATCAAACTCCCTTTGAACGTCTGCATGGCACTCCCCCTCCATACACCAATCTTCGGGTTTTTGGCTCTGTCTGCTTTGTTCTGCTTCAATCCCATGAACAGACTAAGCTTGAACCTCGTTCTTATCTTTGTTGCTTTCTTGGGTATGGCATTGAACATAAAGGCTTTCGCTGTTGGGATCCTCTCTCTAAACGTCTTCGTATCTCCCGCCACGTCGTTTTCTGGGAGCACCAAATGTTTTCTTCACTATCCTCCTTTCATTTACCCGCACTTTCCACTAATGTACTGTTTACTGATCCTTCCATAGATCTCTTCTCTGATGATTTTGATACAGGTTCCTCCTTCATCGAGACACCCTTGCTCACTCCTGATCCCGTCCAGTCTGCTCTCCCTGAAGGTCCACCTCTCATTGCACCACCTCCTTCTCCACCGGTTCTTCCTCCTATCGATCCTCCTACGGGTCGACCACGCCGGGTAACTCAACCTCCTATCTATCTTCGTGATTATATTGTTGGATCTGCTGCCTTTTCTACTTATGAACCTACCTCCTATCGTAAGGCTTGTACTAATCCTCTTTGGCAGCAAGCTATGACTGATGAACTCCAGGCCTTGGACCAAACTCATACTTAGGATCTTGTTGATCTTCCTCCTGGCAAGACTGCGATTGGCTGCAAATGGGTTTACAAAATCAAGACTCATTCTGATGGCTTTATTGAACGCTACAAAGCTCGTCTTGTTGCCAAGGGTTTCAACCAGGAATATGGTATTGATTATGAGGAGACATTCTCCCCTGTTACTCGGCTTACCTCTGTTCGTAGTTTACTTGCTGTTGCTGCTGTTCGCCACTGGGGGCTCTTTCAGATGGATGTCAAAAATGCTTTCCTCAATGGTAATATTCTTGAGGAGGTCTACATGCAACCTCCACCTGGGTCCACTTTTCCACCTCAGAAGGTTTGCAAACTACAGCGTGCCCTCTATGGCCTTAAGCAAGTGCCTTGTGCTTGGTTTGCTAAGTTCAGTTCTACCATTCATGACTTCAGGTTCACCTCTAGCTCCTATGACTCTACTCTTTTTATATGGACTACTCCTCATGGTACCACTCTTCTCCTTCTGTATGTGGATGATATGATTATCACTGGTAATGATGAAGCTGGTATTCTCCACCTCAAACGTTTTCTCCACCGTCAGTTTGAGATGAAGGACCTTGGTACTCTTAACTACTTCTTAGGCCTTGAAGTCTCTCATGATTCTACTGGTTCCTATTTGTCCCAGGCCAAATATGCATCCAATCTTCTGGCTCGTGCTGGTCTTACCGATTGCAAAACTATTTCTATTCCAGTTGATCCTCAGATTCGTCTCACTCATCTCGATGGGGATCTCCTCTCTGATGCTACACTTTATCGCCAGCTTGTCGGAAGTCTTGTCTATCTCACAGTGACTCGTCCTAACATTGCCTATGTTGTTCACATTGTCAGTCAGTACATGTCGGCTCCTCGCACTCCCCACTATACTGCTCTACTCCGCATCCTTCGCTACCTCAAAGGCACTCTATTCCATGGCCTTCACTACTCTACTTCCTCCTCTCTTGAACTACGTGCCTTTTTCGATGCTGATTGGGCTGGGGATCCTACGGATCGACGCTCTACCACGGGATTCTGTTTCTTTTTAGGGGATTTTCTTCTTACTTGGCGTAGCAAAAAACAATCCCTCACTGCCCGCTCTAGTACCGAAGCTGAATACCGAGCTCTTGCTGATTCTACTCAGGAGCTTCTCTGGCTTCGCTGGCTCCTTACTGATAGGGGTGTTTCTTCTTCTGGTCCTACCTCTCTCTATTGTGACAATCAGAGTGCTATTCAGATTGCTCACAATGATGTTTTTCATGATCGCACCAAACATATTGAGATTGATTGTCATTTCATTCGCCAGCATGTTACCTGTGGTACTGTTCATCTTCTCCCTATTGCTTCTGCCGATCAACCTGCTGATATCTTCACTAAGGCTCATCCTCCTGGATGCTTCAGTGATCTTGTCTCCAAACTCAACTTGGTTGATGCTTTCCCTTCTTGAGTTTGTGGGGTGATGTTAGTATATAGTTGTTATAATAGTTGTTATAGCATTAGAGCTTTAGCATTATATTATAGCTTTATCTTTTATATTTCTTAACGTAAAGTATACAGCTTTTCCTTTATGCTTTGTATACAGCTTTTCCTTTATGCTTTGTATACAGCTTTTCCTTTATGCTTTCAGTGCCTACAATTTGGCATCCAATGTATCATCTCCTCTCTATAAAGAGAGTGCATTCTCTTTATAAATGGATACACATAATTACAGATCAATATAGAGTTATTCAGTTGCTCTCTCTCTCTCTCTCTCTCTCTCAAACTATTGTTTCATGGTATCAGAGCCCAGTTATACAATTCTGGCATTTTTCAATTTTGGTGCTTAGTCCCGTACACAGTGGCACTACACCAAACAGCTCAGAATCTCCTTACAATTCCAACAGCACCACGCCCGTCATCAGAAAAGCTCTAACGAGCTTCCACGCACACTAAACAGCTCGAAATCTTCTTACAATTCCAACGGCACCACGCTTGTCATCAGAAAAGCCCTCACGCGCTCCCATGCGCCTCCTTTGTGATCGGCGCGTCTCTTCTTCCGTCACCACTCTCACACGTGCCTTCACGCGCCTTCAGGTCTGCTTGTTCGTGCGTCGCGCCTGCTACCGTGCACCCGCGTGCGCCATCCCTCTACCGTGAGCTGCGCCTGCGCCGTTCTGCTATCGTGCACCCGCGTGCGCCATCCTGCTACCGTGAGCCACGCGTACGCAGTCTGCTAACGTGCGCCGCTGACATCATCTTACATTCTGCTAACGTCATCACTGCACAGCACACCTTTCCTAGCTATTTTCGACCTTCCGGACTCACCGGTACACTCTGTTTTACCTAATTTTGCTCCTACAGGTCTATTTCTATTGATTTAGCCCTACTCAACTATTGTTATGGATCGCCATGATGCCTTCCATCCCATTTCCGTTATTTTGAATGGTTCCAACTATGTTCTGTGGGCCTAAGCCATGTCGTCCTTCCTCAAAGGAAAGAAGCTCTCGCGAATTATCACCGGGGATGTGACCCAACCGGTGAAAGACACTGACACTGATGCAACTACTGCTACTACTACTGCGACATATGAAGACCGACTTGAGGAATGGGACAGTAAGAATTACCAAATCATGTAATGATATATGTCATTTCATTTGACCTATGCACAGCTCTTATGGGCTATTTAGATTTAAATTTATTGCTTCCACACATGTAAGCCCCATATGTATACTCTGTTGTGTGTGACTTTGTAAGTTGGCCTTTGGTAATCTCGGATTATTGGCCATCGTGGCACCATTCTACTAGGGGCGGAATGGGGTCATGACCAAAAAACTAGAAAATATTCTTAAATAGTTTGGATCCATTTGCTTTAGTTTTAGAATAATGATTTGAGTGTAGAATTATGTTTTAAGTTTTAAGTTTTTAAATCATGATTTGTAAAAAAAAAAATATTATTTGGTAATGAGTTTTGAAAATAATTTTAAAATGATTTGTAATTTTTTTTTTTTTGATTAATTGATGTATAAAAATGTGAGAGAATGTGAGAGAGAAAAAGTAATTGATTGATTGATTAATAATAATAATAATAATAATAATAATAATAATAATAATATAAAAAAAAAAAGAGAAGAGAGAGAGTTTTGAAAGTAATTTTAAATTGTATTTTAAAAATATGTTTGGTTAACATATTTCATCCAATTCATAATTTAAAAACAAAATTATGATTTGAAAAGTAAACCAAACGCTACTTTTAATTTTTTTCACACTATATTTTAGTTAAAAAGTCAAAAATTTATTAAAAATTCAATTCCCAAACCAACCTTAGCTCCCACAGAAACCATTTTTTTTATGGCAAACAAGTCACCTGGAAATAATCATGCTCAATAGTTTATAAAATTAACTGGATAATTACAAACATTTTATTGCAATCCTTCCAAACACACACTGGATTGCAAAAACAAACACACAATCCTTCCAAACATACAATCCAAAATATAATTACACATGAAAAAAAAAAAATTTATCAAGTTATTTCATCCCTTCAAGCAATACATAGAGGGCCTAGTAACAGTTAGTGCTGATAACTCCGCATTGTATGCTCCCAAATCCCCGCTCTTGTCTCTCTCAGGTGTAGCCCAGCTTCCTTGGAAAACATAGAGGAAAAAAAATATATATATTGGCCAGCCATCAATATAGTTTATACACGGGTCAATTCAGCATCATCGCATAAACATGGCACAATTTTAGTGCTTTTGTTGGGTTTGCAATGGCAGAGCACATCATCATTAAACAGGAAAAGATCAGAAGTTAAAGCTAATATTTGGACCATTTTATGTATCAATGACAACTAAACATATAGTGGATGTCAAGCCATTGCTTGGTTAAAAATTAGGGTGGCAGTAGAAGTTACCATATAGATAGATCTTGAGACCAATGAGCTGAAGATTGCTTGCAACATAGACCTGCACATGTATCATAATTAGTAAATAGACCTAAGAAAAACCACAAGCTAAAGCAAATAGCAAGTGTGTGCTTAAATCAGCTGTCTAACTTGTTAGCAATGATCAAGACACAAAAAGATAAGAGAAGTAACAAAATTGAAAAAAAATACTTACCATTTATCTCTGGAGTCTCCTTTGCAATCTAGCCATAGTCAATGCAATTGTCACATAAAACCAATTCTTTATGCGGTCCAAGAACTCAGAATAGGCATGTCCAGATGGTTTGATAAATTAAAGGCACATAGTTGAAGTAAACCTTTACAAATGGAGCCCATTTCTCAACATATAATGCACGATCATAGCCTCCAAGGACTGCAAAGAGAATGGCCTTGAAAATTAGAGAAGCTAGAAGCAATTTATCTAAGAAAACAGCTAATAAAGGTGAATTTGTTTTCCCACATTAATTGCAGCATATTAGATTGAAGCTAGAGAGAAGCTCTATGAAACAGCACAAAAACAACCATAATTTATGAAACACGATGGTGAAGCAACATATGCAATGCCAATTTTTTAACAAACACAAGTGTTGACTAGGTAAGAAAACATTTTAAAGATTTGATGATAACCCCCGGGGCAGCCTGTGATGGGCTTTGAAGACTAGCTTGTTATGAAGCATATGTTGATGGTGATCACTTAATATTTTCTATATGAACATAGTTGCATTGACTAAATCCCTTAAAATGTTTATGCATGAGCTAAAAAAGACTTCCCCAATACTAAAAAATATTAATGCTTAAAGATTTAGATGGTGTACTCATAAAAAGTAAAAAAGAAGAAAAAAAATTCAGAAGGTGACAAATTTGATTGATGAAAGCAATTGCATGGTATACGGCTCATTGGAAAAAATCTACTAATTATTATGATTCATTGGTTCAAGTAATTTATAGAAATGAACATCTTACCATTTGCTGCAGAAGCGGTCTCCTCTTCACTCTTAGCAGCAGCGTTTCCATGCCCATCATAAGCAAGCCTCCTGCTCTTTATCATTAGAGGATAGCCAAATAGTTCGCCAGCTCTCTTCGCACTTTCAAAATCATATATCTGTCTATGCCGTATTTTTAATATTACTAGATAAAAAAATATAAAAAAAAAAAAAGGATATCCTAAAGCTAACATTTTCAAGGACAAAGAAAAGTGTGAATTGGTAACTAAATCCTTGGGCCAAATTCTTAAAAGTTGTGGCTAACCTGCATAAAATCAGGAAGTGGAATGCCATGACGTGAAAAATGAACTTTCTGGAGAAATTTATCCTGAAAAAGGTAAAATATAGTCCAAAAATACAAATTTTATCACAAAAACAGAGTTGATAATTGTTTGAATAAAAAAAAAAATCAAACTACCTATCGGTCTGTTTCATTACAAGAAAATATAAAAATGAAATATCTTAATAAAGATAATTGTATTTAACCTAGATTAATTTATCACTACCACAATTCTCACAACAAAATATCTATGGATTACCAAATTAGTAGATCAAAAAGTCCACATAGTTAGCAAAAAGGGGTAAAAAACTTACAAACAAAGAAGAGTAACTACAAGAATAGATTCAAAAGATTAACCAAAAACTACTATAAAAAAAAAAGAAAAAAAAAGAAGGCAATTGTCCACAAAAGCAAAATTAAATTCTGCACAAAAGCATCCAAATTCGACGCAGGCTATATAATTCGGATAGTAGAGGCTTTGGGTTGACAATTCACCCCTTGTTGTTCTAACTTCTCTAATGTCGCCACATCAGCATGCTCAATTTCTACAGTCAACACTCCACATCTACCCACCAAAAAAATTCGGGGGTGTTGTTGATTTTTGGTGATAGATTTTTTGGGATTTTAGTCGTGGGCTGTGAGACTTTCGTTGGTGTTGGTGTTGGTGGTCGGATTAGGGGGTGAGGTTGTGTAACGATGTTGGGGCTTGGGCGGTTATGGTGCTGATGAGGCTTGGGATTGGTTGGTGCTGTGGTTTGGAGCTAGTAGTAATGGTGTTTTTGAGGGTGCAGTGGTGCTGCTTTTTGTTGCCAGGTGAAAACAGAGTTAAAGTGAAGAAGATAGCGTTACAAATGTTTACAGCAAGATCTTGTCAATTTTTGGCTTTCTACACTAAAATTAAATAAATAGATGACGGTAAAAATGTAAAAATACATTTTCTATTAACAGAGTTTGTCAAATGTGACTGACAAGGGAGGTTATTGTTATTTTAGAAACCTGGACGAAGGTCTTTGTAATTGTCATAAACCTTAGGGGAGGTAATTGTAATTTACCCAATTTTTTTTTTAGCATTTGCCAATTTTTTTTTTTTTTAGAAACAATTGTATCATAAAAAGGTTAAAAAATGATAAAAAATGACTTCTATATAGCACCGGAATTAGTTATAAATTAGGATGAAAATAGCAGACAGATAGATCTTTGGGTAAATGAGCTGAAGGTAGCTTCTAACATAGACCCTACACATGAATTATAAATTCAAACGATACATCTTATGTAAGATTTGAAAAGAAAAAAAGGGGAAAAACAAAAAAGGAATGATCATGGCACAAAAAAGTAACAAAATTGAAAAATATATATATATACTTACCAATACCACTAAAGTTTTCTTTGCAGTCTAGCCATATTCAATGCAGTTGTCACACAAAACCAATTCTTTATGCAATCCAAGAACTTGTAATAAAACAAACATTACACATGAAAATAAATATTTATGAAGTCATTTTATCGTTTCAAGAAATGAGAAATGTTAGGGATCATGAAAATTTTTTCATGAAAATGATCATGAAAAATTTGTGACCTTTAGATTATTTTGATTAGTGTGTGGTGCTTTATTGTAAGTGTAATCTAAAAGTCACAAATCTTTCATGATCATTTTCATGAAAGACTTTTCATGATACCTAGCATTGCTGTTCAAGAAATACGTAGAGGGCCTAGTAACAGTTGGTTCTGCTAGCTCCGAACTCGATGCTCTTGTCTCTCTCAAGTGTAGCCTAGCTTCCTTGGAAAACATAGCAAAAAAATGAAAACAACAAAAAAAACAACAATGTGATTATCAGTTAAATTAAAGCCAACTGACTTTTGCCGATAAAAAAAAAAAAAAAAAACTAACTATTGGGCAGCCATCAATATAGTTTATAAACAGAGGATTAAATCATATCATCCCATAAATATGGCACAACTTTAGTTCTTTTGTTTATGTTTACAATGGCAGAGCACATCATCATCACTGCTATTACAAGATCAGTCTTGCAAAATTATAGTATGAATGGATGACTTCCGTAAGAAAAGGAAAAAAAATGTATGGAGAAATAGAAGTTTGATACAATTAAACAGAAACAGATCAGAAGGTAAAGCTAATTTTTGGATCATTTTATTTATGAATGACAACTAAACAGATAGTGGATGCCAAGCAATTGCTTGGTTAAAAATTAGGGTGGCAATAGAAATTACCATATAGATAGATCTTGGCAGCAATGAGCTGAAGATAGCTTGCAAAATACACCTGCACATGTGTAGGACAATTACAAAATAGACCTAAGTAAAACCACAAGCTCAAGCAAATAGCGAGTGTATTGTGCTTAAATCAGCTTATCTAGGATTTCAAATAAAATAAAATAAAAAAATGTCCAGTTGTTAGCAATGATCAAGACACAAAAAGATAAGAGAAGTAACAAAATTGAAAAAAGATACTCACCATTTACCTCTGAAGCCTCCTTCGCAATCTAGCCATACTCAGTGCAGTTATCACATAAACCAATTATTTATGCAGTCCAAGAACTTGAAATAAGCATGTCTAGATGGTTCGTTAAAATCATTGTGCCAAAAACTGTCCAAAATCCAAAGGTGAAACCCAGCCCCATGCTAACATAAAATCCAGTGGTAATAAACTTGTCATCGTCTTCTTGAATCCTTTTGTCTTTGCCACGAACAAGAACTGGAGGTTCCACAACTACTTCTTCTCCTGGACACTTTGGAAGTGGAAGCCCACAAAGTTCACGGTTTCCTGAATATACAGAGGGATCAAAGCTTTGCAATTGAGTGCTTATTGAGATTTTTCCTGACAACCTATTATTTGACAAATTCAACACACTGAGAAAATTTAGATCAGCAAGGCTGGTAGGAATCGCACCTGAAAGCTCATTTGCAGACAAGTCCAGAGATTCCAACATTTTCATCTGACCAACTTCTTGGATGATATTTCCTGTCAAATCGTTTCTTGATAGGTTCAACGAAACCAACACTGCAAGACTCCCAACTTGTTTAGGAATTTTCCCAGCTAAGTTATTGTCGGAAAGATCAATGCTTTTTACTAGTCCCAAAGTACTTTTGTATTCCGACTCTTGTCCTTTCCACAACACCAATGCATCCTCAATATAGCTGTTAATTACAGTATTAGGGCCATGAAATGTCGAATAATCAAAAGAAATGGTTGCACTAGAACTCTTACTTTCCACCAAAGGCAGTAAAATTGTGAAAACAGTGTGGTATGTTTCCTGATAAACGATTATGGGAGAAGTCCAAAATTTGAATTTGGTTAAGGTGACATATATGTCGAGGTATGCTTCCCTTGAACTCATTGAATCGTAGACTAAGAACAATTAAACTTGTTAGGTGTGCCCCTATCCATGCTGGTATTTTTCCTGTTAGTTTGTTTCTGCCCAGATCAATCATTATTAAATTTGTGCATCTCTTTAATGAAGAAGGAATTTCCCCAGAGAAATTGTTTTTGCGCAAGTGCAAAGTTTGAATCTGGCCTAGGGAACCCATTGAGCTTGGAATTTTCCCATACAAATTATTGTGTGCCAAATCAATGATGAATAGTGCTTTGAGGTGCACCCAACAGCTCGGAAGTTCTCCTGATAGTGAGTTATGTGAGAGGTCAAGATAGGTGTACCCCTAATTGCACATAAGAAAGAAAGTGAACCCGAGAAGTTATTTTTGGAGAGATTCAAAAGTGTTACATTAGGAGGAACTAGTGGTATTGGACCCGAAAAATGATTCAAACTTAAATCCATATCAAGATAACCCTGATACTTCAATGATAGATCAGGCAACAAACCTTTGATCAGATTGTTAGAGAGATTTAAAAGTCTTAAACCTGGGGATAGATCCCAAAACCAAGTTGGAACATTATCTGAAATTCCATTACTTGAGATATCAAGCTCAGAGAAGTTCTTTTGCGTTTGAAGCCATTTTGGAAAATGAGGCCCCAACTTACAAGATGATAAATATATGACATCAAGTTGGAAAGGAGGAACCCAGTCAGAACTGAAATTAAAAGTTAATGTGTTTGAAGAAAATGACAAATTCTTCAGACTGGACGTATTAGAAAAGTGAGTTTCAGAGAGTATGACATTTAATGAATTGAAAGAGACATCAAAAGACTCAAGCTTGGAAAGCTGTCCAATATTTCTGTGTATAGTACCATTCAATTGATTGTCTCCAAGATCTAAATTCGTCATTGATGGAAACACTGAAAGGTCAGGCAGTGACCCTGTAATTTGGTTTCCATTCAATTGAAGATAAAGAAGACTAGGAAGTTGTCTAAAAGTTTATGGAATGGACCCACTCAATTGATTAAAGCTAGCAGGCAATTCTATTAGTTAGAATAAATGTATAAAAATAAATAGAGAATTGTATTATTGAATAATGTATGCTTGTTGTGTATCTGAATTTACAAGAGAATTAGGTCTCTCTATTTATAGAGAGGAGAAAGATACAATGGAGTACGAAGGCATAAGGTAAGATATTACAATAATATAAAAGTGTAATCTAAAGCTTTGCTGGTAGTGGGTGTTGGCCTCCTTTACACCTTTGCTGGTTCCTAATGCACATGTACATTACAGCTCCTAATGCACATGTACAGCTATGAAAGTATAAGGTATATTATATGTTAACACTATTAAGGAAGAAAATCTTGTAAAATCAGGCAATGGACCACTAAGTCGATTCTCACCCACATACAAAACCTGTAATGAGTCCTCTGCCCCAAACAACTTTTGAAGGAACTGATGAAGTTCTTCAGTTAAATTGTTTCCAGCCAGATCTAAAGATTGCAAACGACTTAAATTTGCAAAGGATTTTGGAAGAGCACCTTCAAGATGATTCAAACTAAGATTGAGATTTGTTAGGGAAATCATGCCTCCAAAAGGATCAGGAATCGGACCTTTTAACTGGATATCAAAAAGGTCTATATCAATAAGGCTACTGCTAAAGTTGAACAACCAACTGTATATTGAAGAAGATAGATCATTACCAAATAGATAAAGTGTAGAAAGAGACATAGAAGAATTAAAAGGAAGTGAGGGATGAGTAGTGATAGCAGGAAGTGTACAATAAGATAACCTTAACTCTTTTAGGAGAGGGAGATTATTGATAGATTGAACCCAGTCGATTGCTTTACTGAGGTTAACAGCAGAAAGGTCCAAATGACTTAACAAAGAAAGATGAGAAAGCCACTCAAGATTTTCACACTTTAGACCATAATTGTAGCCAAGATCAAGATATTGCAAGTTAGAAAGGTTCCTCAACTTTGTGATGTCGTCATGAAATTCATTTTCTGAGAGGTCCGAATACTTTCAAGCAATGAGGGACTAATCTTACCTCTCAGTAGCTGATGTTCCTGGAGAAAATAATTGTACAAGCCATGAAGATCGATTTTGGTGACATGACCAGTGTGGTTGTTGCACCCAACTCCACTCCATTTGCAACAATCTTTTTTATCTCTTCACTCCCCCAAGAGGAGAGAATATCATATTCATCTATAAGAGCGTCTTTAAACTTGAGGAGAGCTTGTCTCTCCCTCGCTATGCATTTGGTTTTGGCATCTTCTTCAACTCTTGAGGAGAGTCCAAGAGCAGGTTTCATGCATAGTAAAAGCACAATAACAACAAACACATGGAAAACCAGCACTTCAGGAATATCAAATTTTGGCATGACAAGTGGTGTGGATCTACCTATCTTAAGGATGAGTTCCCCTCTCTCTTCAACCTGTCTGTTGATAAAAATGGTTCTCTTCAACAATTCTATGCCAGGAAAACCAGCACTTCAGTTTGGAACTTTCCATATAGAAGAATCTTGTATACTTGGGAAGAGACCAGTGAAGCTAGGTTGATTACAATGTTATCTTCTGCCCCCCCCCCCTTTGTGCCTCAACAGTGCTGACAGCCTGGTTTGGTCTGCACCAGGTTCTTGTGTTTTCTCTGCGTCTTCCCTTTATTCTCTCTGTATTTCTCTCCTTGGGCCTCCCCTCAAAATTAGCAAATTCATCTGGAGCAATACCTTACCTCCCAAAGTTAGTTTTTTTGGTTGGTTAGCTTGGAAAAACAGAGTTAAAACAGCGGTGTTTCTGCTCGATATAGGTATCCTATGCAGCAAGGTTTCTCCTCTTTGTCCTCTCTGCAAAGTGGCCCCTGAATCTATTTCCCATGTGTTGCTTCATTGTCATTTCTCTTGGATCATTTGGTCATCTGTGCTATTTGAGTGGGGGCTCTGTTGGTGCATCCCTCAGTCTGTAGAAGCTCTGTTTAACTGGTGGATGGGGATTAAGCTCAAACACCCTCTCAGGAAATTCTGGGGAGCAATCCCACTGGTTGTATTGTGGTCCCTCTGGAGGCTAAGGAATGAGTGTGTTTTTAGAGATGCTCATCCTAATTCTGCAGAACTATGGGAACTTACCAAGATCAGATTGGCTCTTTGGCTTAAAGCTTCTATCAAGGATTTCCCCTTTACAGCTGAGGAGGTGGCTCTCAATTGGAGACAAACCAGGCTATGCTATTCAGTTTAAAAGAAATCTACCACTGTTTTGTTCAGTGTCAGCTCCAGCATACTCTGCCTTCTGTTCCTTTTGCAAGTCGTGATTTGTTGGTTTCTGCAATGATCTGCAAAGTGATGATAGAGTTGAGTTGTTCATAGGTAAACTATCTGCTGGGCTTCTGCCTGGAGTTCATTCACTGTTTTTTTCTGAGTTTGCAGAATGACTATAGGGCTGCAGTATTGCTCATGGGAATTCAAGGAGTGTTGTTCAAAGGCAATGCAGGTTAATGCAGGTTTCTTCTCTGGTTGGAGTGTAGTTTGCAGAATGACTGATCTGTGCTGGTTTCTTCTCTGGTTGAAAGCAAACATCAAGGCTGATGGTTTGTGATGGTTTGTGTGGGGATTGGTCTAGTTTCTCAGCTGTGGTAGTGTGGATTGGAGCCTCAAGCTCAGATGTTTGCTTTTGGAGTTCGGGGTTGCTTTGGACTGCAATTTCCCTTAGCTGGAGTTCTGGTTCTTTACTTTCCACCAGATGTTTGCGTATGGATTTTGGGTTGCTTTGGACTGCAATTTCCCTTAGCTGATTTTCTGACTTTCTGGTTTTTTGCTCTGTTGGTTTTGCTCCTTGGTTTCTCACCAACTTGGAGGTTGGAGCTTGTTTAAGCTCCAAGCTCCTCTTTATTGATGTAATTCTTCTTATAATTCATCAATAATGTCTTCTTTTTGCCGATCAAAATCCAGACAAAAAAAAAAAAAAAAACAACAAACACATGGAGAAAAAGACGAAAATTTTCAACCATCACCATTTTCATGAACATGGTCATGGTGATGCAGCAAAAATTAATATTAAGATGAAGTAGCAAATACACCAAGAAATAAGGATTTGCAATTTTTGGTTTTTTGAGTTATATTTGCCATGGAATGACCACCTTTTATACTGTAGTTGCACCACAAGTTTTCCAGAATGTTCATAGAAAAAGCCTTGGGAGTCAACGAAGATGCCACTAATGGTCAACTCATTTAAGGCTATTTTTTATTTTTTATTTATTTATTTTTTTGGGGGGGGGGGGGAAGCCTTGTCCACCGCTGCGTATATCTTAAATAGAGTCAAAACAAAAGCCAAACCTCTAACTCCTTACGAATGCTGGCATGGAACTAAACCTAATGTTCAAAATCTCAAAGTTTGGGGATGTAAAGCACATGTACTTATTCCCAAACCTTTAAGGGATAAATTATTTCGAATCTTTTAAGTACTTTTTTCGTGTTGTGGCATCCCAGACTTGCCACGCCTTGAGATAGTAAACTTTTATTAAACGAATTTCGAATCTTTTAAGTACTTTTTTCGTGTTGTGGCATCCCAGACTTGCCACGCCTTGAGATAGTAAACTTTTATTAAACGAATTTCGAATCTTTTAAGTACTTTTTTCGTGTTGTGGCATCCCAGACTTGCCACACCTTGAGATAGTAAACTTTTATTAAACGAATTTCGAATCTTTTAAGTACTTTTTTCGTGTTGTGGCATCCCAGACTTGCCACACCTTGAGATAGTAAACTTTTATTAAACGAATTTCGAATCTTTTAAGTACTTTTTTCGTGTTGTGGCATCCCAGACTTGCCACGCCTTGAGATAGTAAACTTTTATTAAACGAATTTCGAATCTTTTAAGTACTTTTTTCGTGCTGTGGCATCCCAGACTGGCCACGCCTTAGAGATAGTAAGGTCAAGTTTGGGGACTTTAAAAAAAATTAAAAAGTTAAAAAGTTACTCAAAAAGTTAAAAAGTTAACATTATTCATCAAAAGTCAACAATTACGGCTGCACAACTCCCAATTCAAATTTTTTCCTACAAATCAATTTTTACAATTTTTTATTACACATTTTTCAATAAAAAGTAAAAAAGTTAACCCAAACATCCATATTTTCAACCTCAATTTTTTAGTCTAAAAAGACAAAAAGTACACTTTTTTAGTCTTCCCAAACTTGGCCTAAACTTCTATTAAACGAATTTCGAATCTTTTAAGTTGGTTATTTTGATTCGAGAGAATGTTTGAATTTGATAGGTTTATTTTAGAATCGATATTAATAATTTGAACTGTCTATTGTTTATAACTCGTTAAATAGAATATTAATGTAAAAAATTAAGATAATTTGATATCAGTATCTATATTTTAAAATCAAATTTGTATTTAAAAAAAAAATATTATTCTTAAAATTATATTTGTTGTTTATTTTTTAAAAACATACATGATTCAAACATATAGTTACTAATGTCCAATCATCTTCATTTTTTGTATGAATAATTTAGTTAACGAATCATAAAAAATGCACAGTTTAGATTATTGAAATCAGCCCCCAAATGGGCTGATCAATCTCAAATGCTCACTCAAATTAAGATGAAAATTTGAGAGAAATTAAACTCTTATTAATATATATTTAGAGTATCTTTGTATTATTTACGTATTATTCTCAATAAACAAAAAATTATAATACATATTAAGTAGAATAAATGAGAATTTATGACATATATAAAGTGGACCATATTTTATGTCTGATCTATTTGACAAAGGTGAGTTAATATCTCATCGTAAATTTATTTGTTACATAATTATATTCATATTAACATGTTAACATTTACATTGATAAGAATGTAAAATTGGCCCGCAGCTCGTGGGCTGCCCGAAGCCTGACCCGGCTCGGCCTGTTGACAA